AACAACAACAACAACAACAACAACAACAACAACAACAACAACAACAAACTGTACCAGTGAACTATGGAGTTGTGTTCTGGTGCTGCGCTGCTGCATCTGAATCTATGCAGGGTGCAATGAAATGTCAAGACTATCACTGCAGCAAAATGAGCTCAGTGGCAGAACGCTCCGTCACAGGTCACAGGTCATGGGTCACAGGTCATGGGTCCTCCAACAGGATAACGACACAAACACCCAAAAACAACCAAGAATGGGTTTGAATCAAACAAAGGGAGTCTGAACAAGGAGTGAGCCGAAATACCTGTGGACAGGTTAAGATTCATTTTAAATAATTCTACTGAACCACAAGTCCATTAGTTTCATTAACCTACAAAGCTCTCAACAACCTAGCTCCATCTTATATTACATAACTTATTGGTCCATGTTTTCCCTAACAGACCACGTCACTCTCAGACTGCAGGTTTACTTCTGGTTCCTAGAGTTTCCAGCAGCAGAATGGGAGGAAGAGCTTTCAGTTCTCAGGCTCCTCTCTTGTGGAACCAACTTCCAGTTTCTGTCCGTGAGGCTGACACACTGTTGATAAATCCTATAGTTAGGGTTGGCTTGGGTTTCTAGAGTTATCCCTTAATTATTCGGCTATAGGTTTAAACTGTCAGAGGATAAACTGACCGCATTTCCTCACTCTGCTGCCGTCTTCACTTGCTCTCCTCTACCTGTTTGTATTTGTAAGTATTTCTTTCCTTACCACATTTATGTTGTTGTTGTTGTTGTTGTTGTTTCTTCCTATAGAAAGTAAACCTGGACCTGTCATTCTGTGTTTCTCCTTCCCGTCCTCTCAAACCCAGCCGGTTGAAGCAGATGACCACTGTCCGGAGCCTGGTCCTGTTCAAAGGCAGTTTTTCCTCTCCACTGTCTCCTTTGCGCTCGCTCAGGACGGGACACTGTGACGAAGTGGATTCAACATCTGCTTCTTAGATAAATAACTTTTACTAAGTGGCTTTTAAAACGTTTGTGCATGTTTTTGCAGTGGCCTGACTTCTGTTGTGACTTGGCAATAAAGTGAATTAGTTCAATGATCAATGGTTTTACTCCTTAATGAAAGGTTAAAAATGTGTCTGCAATAACTAGGAGTACTTTATAACAGGCCTCGCGCAGTTTTCCTGTTTCAAATGACCCTTACCTGTCTGCCAGCTCCAGCACCTCGTGCACATTGCAGGTGCTGACGCGCATTTCCCCCGTGTACATGTACTGGATCACACCCTCCACTGTCTCCGGGTCAGGCCCCAGCTCCGAGCTCCACTCCTTCATCTCCACCCGCCCGGACTGGGACTCGGAGAACTGTCCTCCCAGCAGCGGGGTGAAATAATCGGTGGCGGCAGCCAGGACGGACCTGTGGGCTGAAAACTCGCAGCTCTGGACGTTTCCGGTGGCCGCCCCGCTGCTGAAGGCCAGCGTCACGTCGCAGAACAAGCCCTGCTTCCTCTGCTCGTTCTGCCGCCGCGACAGCTCCGAGCAGTGGGAGGAGGACGTGAAATCCTCGGCCTCTTCCGCGTCTCCGTCCGCGGCCAGCGCGCTGGGTGAGCTGCTTCCGCCGCCGCTGCACCTGGCGGAGTCCTCCGGGTTGGGGGCCGCCGCTGCCATTCTGCTGCCCGAACTGGAGGTGAGCGAAGGTGGGAGATGAAACAAACTAGCGAGGGACAGGAGGCGACATACGCAGCCACACATACATGGAGTCCAGGAGGGGACGACAGTGAGGCGTGGCTAGCTGTTGCGTCACATCCGGAGTTTGAAACGCGCCGATTTAACGATCAAAACACAAACGAAAATATATATATTAAATTATTTTTCGTTAAACGCGATTTTTTTTAATTGTTTATAGTGACTTAGTGATCAAAAATGCGTAAAAATGTGGATAAATGAGTAACGAGCAACAACGCCACAAACACTGACATGCGCAGTAGGGGGGGGGGGATAATCTGTAACGTCGTGATGACGTCACAGTACGCTTGTCGCCCGCGTGTCGTGATGACGTCACAGCACGCTCGTCGCTCAGGTTCACACGGCTTTATGCTTCACTTTTGGAGAAATTAAGTGGAAACAAGTTTGGTTGAATGGAGAAAAATGTTGCATAACAAATAAAGTTAAAGAGGTTTCATATAAAATCAATCATAATGTTAAAAAATACACTGGAAAGATTTAAACTTTACTCTAGTACATTTTGTGAACTACACATGGAAACAATTTCTCATTTATTCTATCATTGTAATCACACAAAGACATTCTGGACAGATGTACAACTCATACGACAGAAAACTGCACAAATAATTCAACTTACAGAGAAAGACATTATTATAATAAGCTTCGACAATAAGGATACGGACAAAGACTTGATCTACTTCACTCAACTTCAACTTCTCCGGGGAAAATTCCACATTCACAAGAAAAAGTGGTCAAACTCCAAACCAAACATAAGCAGAACTTATTTACAGCAGCACTATTAAAGGACTGGGAAACAAAAAGGCAATGAAAACCAACTCAGTTCTAGAAAAACTTAATGTGAATTTATCTGTATAACTTGTAAATATATTGTTTTGTATCTTTAGAATTGTGTACCATTTTATAACCAAATTGTTCTTTCTATACTTTTGTACCTGCTAATATACCCCTGGCAGACAGTTGTTTGTATAATTGATAAAGTTTTGTAATTAAAAAAAAGAAAAAAAGACGGCTTTACGCTTTTGTCCTAATTAAAACTGAAAAAGATTCTAAAATCTTGCTGTTATAACTTTTTAACTTGTTCCGCCATAACAAGGTTATTCATTATATCCTGATGCATGCCCAATAATCCAGGTAGAAGAATCTAAAAAAGTTAATTCTGGTCCTCTGGACATTCAAAAAAACAAAACAAAGCCAAACAAGAACAACAACAAAATGTAGAAATGTTTCGTCTTTCATCCAGAACACTAAAGTTTATTAATTCATTCAACTTTTATTTAGACCGGTTGAGCCTCGAGGACACATTTACAAGAGAGACCTGATTCCAACAGAGTGATGACAACAATGGACAACGACAGACGATCATAAAAGAGGCATACAGATTTATTTTGTTTTATTTTTTACAATTTAAAATAAGATGGCAAAAAAAAGTAGTAAAAACAGTTCGATTATGAGGCGACTGTATAAAAAACTAAAAACAGGAACATGTGTGCATTGTTCCTGTTTTTAGTTTTCTACATTCGCCGTATAAGTTATAAAGTTATGATTATATCAAATAATGAAATTTAGCCGAAGTCTATACAGATTTTTTCTCTCTCACTTAAATAGATTTATACTGAAGCCTAAATAAAGAAATAAACATCACACGGGCAGCCTGCAGTTACAGCTTCCTTCATACCTTCAAATGTCAGGACAATATTTACTCTCAAACTAGAATGACTTAAAATTACTCTTTAAAAAAATATAAAACAAGATGTCAGAAGATTCAATCAAGAAAATGTATAGAATAAAAGAAGCTTAATTTAAAACCCCACTACTATTTCCAAAATACCTGGTTCAGTAAAGGAGGTATCAGCATCTTCTGGCTTGGTTGAAGACCAACATGTAGAAGAAGGAGGGTCCATGACTGAGTCACCGCCCAAAGGGGCGGGGCGACTGGATAAAGGCATTTGAACGGGGTTACCAAGCTTGACATAACACCGGGCGCCACGTCAACATAGATGGTAAACACAAGAAGATATCTCACTCTGACCGACACAAGAGAACACAAATCAATCAACCTTTATTTCTACAGGTAAATCCCATTGAGCCTCGAGGACTCATTTACAAGAGACACCTGATTTCAACAAAGAAAGATGACAACAATGGACAACAACAACAATAAACAGTTATAAGAAAAGCATACTACAGTTTTTTTTTTTTGTTTCATTCACGTGCTAACAAACAAAAGCAAGCAGAAATGCTAAAATAAAGATCCGCTGTACATAAAGTTCTGTCTAGAGACTAAAATTTAGAATCCACGCCTCTAGATAGCAAACTCGGTGAGAAATGTATCACTCTGAACAATATTCGGCTGGATTTTCAGACACAGTTCACATTTTTACTGATGAGCATAATCATTCTCATATAAAGTATCAATGAAATCCATCACAAGTAGTTTCCTGAACCTCTCAACAAATCTAAACTAAATATGAAAACTGCATAATCCACTTTATTGTGAACTATAACTGCTGCTTCATATAAACATTGGAATAATACGCATCTCCAAGTATTTTTTTTATCGACAAAACCAAACTAAAAGTTGTTTTTAAAGTGCAGCGCTGAAATCACACAATACAACCGTTACATTTATTATATTTATTTTACCTCAGTTATATAGTTGTATACATACAACACATTGGTACATTTAGTTCATAAATGGACAGTTAAAATTAATATAGAGACAAAACGAAAATAGTTTTATTTTCCTCCACAAAAATAAGCAGAAATGACACCGGGCACAGACTAATGTTTATGACCAAGGTACGCTACATCAAATCTAAATAAGAAACATGTATACTGTGTGAGACTAAAAAAAATTACCAATGAATGAAAAATGTTCAGGATCAAATCTGAAATAACATTTAAAACTCTAATATAACAGAGGTAAAATAATAACAATAATAATGCTAAAAATATATAGTTTTATTAATGCTAAAAGTAATAATTCAAAATGCTGTGCTCATGATTCAACCCGTAATCAAACACAAAACACATTTATGATTTAATAGACATGTATTCCACCTAAACAAGTGGAAAAAGAAAACGACAACAAATGATGGTATGCAGAAATGACTATAGTTCAGTTTGGCACAAAATGCTGAGCAACATTTCAGTTTTGGCACAACTTTAAAAACATCACAAAACAACAACAATATTCTATTGTCTGCTCTACGGTGTGTTCTGGTTTGATCTGTATTATTGCACAACGTGACGAGAATAGAACATAGACACAACATTCTGTAATAGACAATAATAACGCTAGATTAGGAAATAAATAACAGCACTTCCTGTATCGTGAGTGATAGTTGTGGTCAGTAAATAATCCCAGTCATCTCCCACAGTTGGTTATCTGCAGCACCGACTGTCTTTCAGAGCTAAAAATAAACAATTTACATCTATAATAATTGTAACATCTTCCCTAATGTCACTACATTTTTTAAAGTGGCTGATCACAGTTGGGGCTTGGGAAGCGGTGGGTTACACGGCACAGCTCTCTCTTTAATTACATAGACATGTGCTCTGGAAGCACGTAGGAGATGTCGTCCCAGGGGTGGCGATACAGTCCCTGCTTCAGCCTCTTCTGGTCCAGGTAGTGTCCTGGGGAGATACAAATTCATGGATTCACTTAGAGAGCAACATATAAACATTTGCCGTTGTGTAGAAAATCCCAAAGCAGCAAAAATGACACCAGAAAACATGTTCCATGTTTATTTTTTAAACTAATCTGGCCTCCAGTTTTAATGTAAAAAACCTTGGTATTATATTGGATCAGGATGACATTTAACCCCCACATTAAAAATGGTACCAGAACCCCGCTCTACTGTACCACCTGAACAATATCACTAAAATTAAAAACAGCTTGTCCCAAAATGATGATGAAAAACAGATTATCTGTTCTAGCTTGGACTATTGTAATTCTTTATTAAATGGGTGTAAAAAAAACTCTTTAAATATTCTTCAGCTGATCCAAAATGCTGCTGCCAGAGATCTGACAAGAATTAAAATGAGAATCGGCTCCCCATCTAATAAGAATACAATTGAAAATGTTGCTTCTAACCTATAAAGCTCTCAACAACCAAGCTCAATGATTTCACTGCTCCATATTTTCCAAACAGACTGCAGGTTTATTTGTGGTTCCTAGAGTTTCTGTGGTAGAATGGGAGGAAGAGCTCTCAGTAATCGGGCTCCTCTCTTGTGGAACCAACTTCCAGTTCCTCTCCATGAGGCTGACATTCTGTCTACCTTTAAGATTTTAAGACTACACTTTTTGATAAATCCTATAGTTAGGGTTGGCTTCCTAACTCACCAGAGGGAACTGACTGATTATACCATTCTTATCAGAACTCGGTGCCTCTGGAGTGTCCTGCTCCTGCTGGAGTACAAACTGACCACATTCCCTCACTCTGCTGCTCTCCATGTTTGGAATTATGTCACTGACGTGTTTTTCTTTCCACAGAAACTACCGTATTTTTCAGACTATAAGGAACACTTAAAATCCTTTAATTTTCTTTAAAATTGACAGTGAGTCTTATAATCTGGTATCAATTCTGGTTGCGCTTACTGACCTCAAACTGATTTTATGTGTCATTTTTCACCACTTTTATTGTCTGAGGTGAATGCATTGTATTACAACAGGAATAAATTGACTTTAATTGGATTTTAAACTGGATTTATGATTTTTTTTTTTTGTGTGGTGTAATGAGATGACTTGTGCTGTGAACTGGCCCCATCAAAATAAACTGCACTGACTCACCAATGAATCCCATGCTGCGTCCCAGGACGAAGATGCCATTCAAGGCACCGACTTCTACAAACTCATCAGCCTCATCCCTGCGTGACGGACAAAGTCAGAAAAAAAAGGCACAATATGAAAAACGTGTGACTTTAAATTTAGGGTTATTTTATCACTGTGGCACATTTGAGCAGACGGCTCCTTTTCTCACCGTGTAAATCCACCACAAGTCCTGAGCAAGTCCACAAAGGCAACACCGATGAGGCCGTCCACGTTCAAGATCAGGTTGGGTTTCTGTTTGGAGCAGCGAGAACAGACGGGCCGGTGACAAACCGAGTGGCTGATGAGCACTTGTCGAAGGAGAAAAAGGTTAGTCTTACCTTAGAGGTGGTGATCTTCTCCACTTCTAAAGCGTAGTCCAACAGCTGCGAGGAGGGAAAGTTCTGCTTCACAAAGTCCTTCAAGATCTGAACTCTCATGTCGGGATTATTAATCTAAGGAAGCAAAGATAAAGCCTTTTATTTAAAATATCGACTGTTCAAGCGGTTTGTATTTTTCATTTCTGCAGTTCTTGTTCTTTAGATGCTCTACAGCAGCATTATCAGGAAAAGTGCATCTTTCTTTGTTTCCGTGTTGGGTGGGAGACACTTCTGTTGTTCCAGACGTGTTGCAAAGACTAACCGACTTGACTCTGTGTCCTATGCCCATTATCAACCTGCCGTCCTTTTTCATCTTGTTGACAAACTCCATTGGAAGCATGCCGCTATCAAACGCATGGCTGAACTGCTTTGCTGCTGCGTCCAGGGCTCCTCCGAAGCGGTCACCCTAAAGAAACACAGTGACGTTGGCTCGTGGTGGACTTTTATTAACAGGTGTATAAAGAGAGCAAACGAATAAATCAGTGTCTCACAATAGTGAGGAGGCCTGAGGTGAGGCTGGAGATCAGATCTTTACCAGCTCGGGCACAGACAATAGTATTGTGGGCTCCAGAAACAGCAGGGCCGTGGTCTGCCGTTACCATGAGGCACATTTCAATAAACTGGCAGGCGTACTTCGGCAACCTGCACACAAAGAGTGACGTGGCACACATCCCTCAGCAGCACTTTACAACAAAGATAAGACGAAGTAAAGGAAGGGTCTAACCTCCGCTGGAACCAAAGTAGGCCCAGAGTTCCTCCCAGGCCTATTTCAGACTTGAAGACCTCAGTGATGGGCATACCGGCGTAGAGGAGCTCCTGGCCTCTTTCATCACAGATGCTGGTCATGAAGGAGGCTGGTTTACGGATCAGACCCAGCTCCTGCACAGCGAACAAGAAAACAACAGTCTGATTCAAAACGGTACAACTTGGTGTAGTTTCTGTTTAAAAAGGAGTGTCTGCAAAAACATAGACAATAAAATATTAGAAGAACCTTCTTTCTTTCCATCTTTATCAAAACAAAAACAGCTCAAGTATTAGTGTTGGATAAAATGTCCTCGCATTAGCTGCTTAAATAAAGGAGCTCACAATTAAAGACGGGACAAGATTTTTTAACCCATCCAACATTTTTCAGTCAGGTCATCTGGACAGTTTCTTTTTTTTGTGCTGAAACGTTCACCTTCCATCCAGAAGGCTTCATCAATCAAGGAAGCACACAACAAAACTGATTATTCCCCCAACAGTTTACTTCAAAGTGGAACAAACCAGTTATGTTGGTGCTAAGATGTTCTCTTTGGCACGCCCGCTCCTCCAGTGCCGGCCCTCTTCCTCGTCGACAGTCATGTCAAACTGGTTCAAAACCAACAAAGTCCATGCTCAATAATCCAGGTATACAATCCAACAATTTTCGGTTTCTTTTTTTGTGCTGAAAGCACCAACACAGCTGGTTTGTTCCACTTTGTAGTAAGATGTTTGGGGGAAGAATCAGTTTTGTTGTGTGCTTCCTTGACTGATGAAGCCTTCTGGATGGAAGGTGAAACGTTTCAGCACAAAAAAAAAAGAAACCGTCCAGATGACCTGACTGAAAAATGTTGGATTGTATACCTGGATTATTGAACATGGACTTTGTTGATTTTTCAACCCAGTTTACTTGCAAGGGCAGACGTTCACACGGGCTTACACAGATGTTACAATGAAGCCACGGCCGTGAAGATCTGCACCGGACAGCGTGCGAGGAGTGTTTTTATAATTCTTATCGGCCCTCACAGACAGTCACGGATGACCTCGGCCTCCTGGCTATATCAAATCAAGAACTCTGGCCTCGCACACGGTTCAACATTCATTTAACATTAGCAGCGGTAAACATCCATAAACCTTGACCACAATTCTCCTGACAGTTGGCTTCTAGTTTGGAGGTTTGTCAAAAATAAAACTGAAATAAACTTAAAAAGAAACAAAACGATGCAGACTTTTCCTCCTTCCAAATGAAGGTGATCACACTTGAAGACTACGGGGGGGGGGAACTGCATACATAAAGTAGTCCCTCAGTACTTCGTGGTTCGTTTATCGCTGACTCGCTCCATCGTGGTTTTTCAAAATAAGACTGGACATGACACAAACGCGGCCGATTGATGGATGAGCCGCACGATCGGCATGGAGTTTTTAGGAGTACACAGAAAATGCTTATTGGAAGACTGCATCTCTTCATTTTATATCATAAATAAGTAAAATGACGTAAAGAAGTGTGCTTGCAGGAACACTCACTCGTGCCCAGGAGTAATCCATCGGTACGGTGGGAGGAGGCACCTCTTCAGCTGGCTGAATGACTCCTCTGGCCACAAGGTCATCATACACAGACCTGCACAGACGGAAATCCACACAAACAACCGGTACGTAAAATAAAACAAAAAAATGCAACAGAATTTAAGAAATGTATAGTCTATCAACTTGTCCTGAAGAATGTTATACTTAAATGATAAAATACTGATCGTGCACTGACTTGATGATCTCTCCCAGCTCGTCAAAGCTCGTGGGGACAAACGCACCCGCCTCTTTCAGAGCTTTGTTCTTGGCCACTGCCGTCTCAGAAGCCTGGTTGGCGCAAGCTCCTGCATGGCCAAACTGCACCTGATGAGGAAAAAACAAGTACAAGCACTTAAAACTACCATTCATTTATTTATTGTCAGATATTTAATGTTGTCCTCTTACCTCTGAGGAGAACATGGTGGCACAGGTGCCGATACACCAGCACACCACTGGCTTTGTGATCCTGCCCTGTTTAATGGACTGGCAGATCTTGTATTCCTCTGTGCCGCCAATCTATTTAAAATTATGTTAGAATTATAAGGGTGGTGAAATTAATAAAAGCTGCAGACGTTAAAGCTTGTAAAGGTTTTCCAACCTCTCCGAGGACGACAATCATCTTCACAGCTGGAGTGTCCTGGTAGCGCAGAACGTGGTCAGTAAACACAGAGCCTGGGTATCTGCAGAGGAGTTCAGCGTTACATCGCAGCTCAGACAAACACACTTAAACTCTCCAGGGGTACCGTAGTTTCCGCCGTACTTGTCGCACCACCCTATAAGTTGCATCAATCCAATTATGACTAAAAAAGTGGGGAAAATCCATAAATATGTCGCTTCGCATCTATTATGCGTCACCGCTGACAACAAGGAGATGTGAACCGGTGTTGTGCCAAAAATCAACGGGCTGTCAAATGGCGGCTGCGGGAGCGTGCACGGGAGGACGTTAACAAGATTAACACTTAAAAACAATCATTTGTTTGCTCAAAATTATAGTAAATGCACTTTGATGGTCAAATCAGCTGCATTTCACCGGGGCGGTGCAGCTGATTTGACGGTTGCTCCAAGCAGCGAGCAGAACGAAGGTGGGGGGAATATGGCAGGCCGATTGTGTCATTAATAGCTGGTGAAGATTCTCAGTCATTCAGGACATGGTAAATTCAAAAAAGTTCAAGACAAAAATAATAAAGTATAATAAATAAAGTCCAATTGTTTTTGTCTTGAACTTTTTTGAATTTGTCATTATAGCCACGTTTACCTATTACATGATACAACGGCATGCCTTACTGCTACTACTACTCTGCTGCCATCAAGTGGCTGAAAGTGGTACTGCTCTTTTATTTGCAGTCAGAATAAATGATCTCAGCCAAAAATTGGTTTATAAATATGGGAAAAAAATCCATAAATACGTCGCTTCGGCCTACAAGTCGCAGGGTATTTAAATTATGCAAAAAAACCTGTGACTTATAGGCCGAAAAATACGGTAATACGATCACACACCTGTCTCCGCCGATCGCCACGCCTTCAAAAACACCATCCGTAGTGCGGGAGATGATGTTGTTGAGTTCATTGGACATGCCGCCCGAGCGGGACACGTAGGCCACACTGCCCGGGCGATAGAGCTTGGAGGCCAGGATGTTATCCAGCATGCCTCCTGTGTTACCGATCTTAAAACAGCCTGGCTTTATCCCTCCAACCTAAACAAACACACACACTGTAGCTTGCTTTGACAGAAACAGCCAGCCCACTGGGATCCTGGATCATCTGAAAAGAGGGAAGCTAAACTTACGGTTGCAGGTCCGATGATGGTGACACCCTTCTCATCTGCAACTTTAATGATCCTCCTGGTGTGGGCTTCAGGGATTCCCTCAGCAATGATGGCAATGGTCCGAATCTGAACGCAGTCGAGAACAGATGGGCCTAATTACATCAAGCAATATAACAGTTTTATTCAAATGATGCAGGAGGCGTTTACCTGAGGGTACTGCATGGTCTCCATGGTGCTTTCAAAAGCTGAACGCAAAGAGGCAAAGCTGATGAGCACGTCCACGTCAGGATGCTTCTTCATGGCATCACTCATGTTTTTATACACGGGGATGAGGATCTCTTTGTGTCCCCAGTAGAATTTCTGTTTGTGGTCTCCTCTGGAGGAAGAGGCAAGCAGAGCAAACTTTCAGGACGCCCTCACTCGCCGAGACGTTCCAAACGTGCCAAAAAAAAGGAGCGTTTGCACTCCGCGGAGCGAACGTATGAGGAACGCACGTGAACGGGTAGATCATCGCTGAAACGGATGGATCATCTCTGGAACAGACATAATCAAAGTCCAGCATTCCCTGGACAGCCCTCGTCTGCATCCCCCACACCAAGGCCTTTGTGTATTTAGTGAACAGGGTTGTTGCCTTTGCTGAGGGGAGAAAAAACATTTAGACACAAAAATGTACCGCCGAGAGACAAAACTAGACGCTTTACAGACTATTAACGATCAAACAACATCAGCCATCACCCAAAATCTTTACACAAAATGTGAAGACGTGAGATGATTAATTATAAATACTCTTTAATTTTGAAGTGCAGCTTCTTTTTGTCGTCTAAAGAGGGAGCTGCAACGCCTCAGCTCAAGCATGCAAGACCAGACTTTTTCATATCATGTCAAAAAAAGAGTCAAAGCTAAAAAACTGAAGGATGCAAAGATTTTACACTGCGGTCATGTGTGTGTGTGTGTTCTTACCAACAGGAGCTCCACTTTTAACCTTTTTGGTTGGTGAGCCCTCAACTCCAGCTTTGTTTCCAGAAGAATGGGCTTTTCTCCTGGATGATGGCGTCTGGAAGCAACAACGGTGAACAGAAAGGTTGTTGCAGATTTTAAAGTGAGACCTGCTTTCAGAGTAAAAACCTGAATGACAACAAGACTAGATTTCAAGAGCTTCAAGCAGTGGCTATTTAAGTGGCGGCCCTGGGCCCAAATCTGGCACAAGTGACTTCAGTTCAACCCAACAACTGGTCCCTTTTTTAAATAAAACTCGATTTTAAACCGTTAAACAACCTCACCATATTTTCCGGCGTATAAATCACAGTTTTTTGCATAATTTGCATGCCCTGCGACTTATTTAAGTTTTTATTCCATATTTATAAACCAATTTTTAGCTGAGATGTGACCGTTTTCATTCATATGAAAATATTGAACGCTACCATTTTCAGCCGCTAGATGTCACTTGAGTAGTATGGCATGCCGTTGTTTAATTTAATAGGTAAAAGTAGCTATTTATGACACAATCAGCTTGCCATACAATGCCACCTTTGTCCAGCTCACCTGGAGCAACCGTCAAATCAACTTCATGTCGCTGCGCCGCCTCAACGAAATGCAGCTGATTTGACCATTAAAGTGCATTTATTAAGGAAACGTTCAATGGAGACACCTTTACTATAATTTCGAGCAAACAAATAATTGTTTTTAAGTGTTAATCTTGTTACAAGTCCTCCCGTGCACGCTCCTGCAGCCGTCATTTGGCAGCCAGTCGATTTTTGGCACAACGTTTCCAGGTTGTCAGCGGTGATGCGATAGATGAAACTTATTTATGGATTTTTTTTTCACTTTATTAGACATATTTGGACTGATGCGACGCGGTGCGATGTGTACGGTGGAAAATACGGTTCTTAATGAGAATAACTGCTGGATTTCTGGCCCCTGAGCTCTCGGCTTTCAATAACCATGGCCCTAGACCTGGCTTAAAATAAGAGCAGGGCGGCCTTAAGTCTTCAGGTTATTTGATGAAACACCACAAGCACAGTTTCATTGTTCTTAACTAGGGGTGCACCGATAAATCGGCCGGCTGATTTGTCGGCCCCGATTTCCTTAATTTGGGGAAATCGGCTGATACTTGCACGAGAAACCGATTTTACAGATTTTTTTGTTCCAACAACAATTGTCTGAACTTCATTAATATTTCAGAGCACGACCTCATGGCCAGTTAAAACAAGTTTGTATTGTTTCTAGGATGTTGTTCAAGGGGATGTTTTTCAATAAAATAATATTGGTAACTTGAAGGTGCGTTGTGACCTTGTAACACCTGACGGTGTCGCTTAGAAAACAAAATCGGAATCGGCCGGTCAGACTTTTTAGAGATCGGTGACCGGCCTGAAAATTGCAATCGGCGCAGCACTATTCTTAATTTTATTCCATAATAGAACATTTTTTAAAATCTCAGACTGTGTGGAAATATTTTAGCACACAGTACTTCACTACTTTACTCATATACAAATATATGTTTGTAGATTTGAGGCGCACACACGCGTTGCTGAAATCCTTCACTGTGCCTGTTCTTAATGGACGCCTCGGGGGGGGGTTCTGCACGACCGAGCTGCAGACCGAGTGAGAGCAAAGTCTGTACACAAAAGAGCTACCGGGCTTCTGATGATGTGATCCACTAAAAGAACGAGCGACCGAGTTCGTGCCCGTCCTGCAGCTCATTCTGCGCCACTCGTACACATCGTAACAAACCGTACGTCACCACGGAGCTCATCGTACCGATGTGCTGCTGCTGGAGTTCAGGAGGAAGTTGGCCGTGTGAGCAGCCACCGGGGGCTGGGTGGGGATCGGCCTGTGACCCAGAGCCATGCCGACGATGGCGGTCATGTGGGTTTCTGTGCCAAAAACATGAATTGGGATCCCGGTGGTTTTTCCTGCAGAGGAGGGTTTTCAGAATCAGTGTGTGACGATCACAACGATTCAGACAAAACTTAAAACCAGAGTTTGATAAATTAAAAAAAAAAATAACGTACCAACATCGCCCATCACCCTGAGACCTTCCTGGTAGTTGGGACCGCCGCGACGGACAAAAATGGAGACTTCATGCTCCTTCAAAGGTGCCTGAAAGTCTTTGATGGCTCGAACAATCCCCTGTCACACAGAAAATATTTGTGAGAATGATGATTCAACACTCAGTGTTTTCTTTATTTTCCATTTGTAATCTAACTACTTCTGCAGACCTTCTTCTATTACATCCATCAAAACGCTCAGTTCACTCAGGAGATGGGTGCTCTGGGTGTTGCAACTTTATTTATTTTTGAAGTATTTAAATTTGTTCACTAATAGAAACGCATCAATATTCATTTTATTTGTTCAAGAGCATTGCTCTCTGAGTCAGCAGGACGTAGCAAACGTTCTGATTTAGCTAACTCAGCGCTAACGTTGTCGCTCACGAACGATTCGTTCAAACGAACGACTCGAGTGAACGAACTGAATCACTTTGTTAACCGATTCGTTCCTTTCTCAGTTCAGTTGAGCTCAGGTGGGAGTCCTGCGTTCTGTGGCTCACTCGTGACGTGAACCTGCACGACACAGCGCCGTGCGGGCGGGGAGGGACCGTTGTTGACGCCGGAGCGAATGAGACGTTCGTTCACTGCACATAAACTGCACGTCTCACTCGGTGAATGAAACACGGCTTCTTCAGAAAATTTCAGCAACGTCATTCAGCACTCAGCATTTTTCCTGCATTGATGCAGAAAACGACAGTTTTCAATAGTGTGAATGTTTAAGAAGCATTCACACTATTGTGATCAATTTTTCTTCCGTACGTTTTTTTAGTGCGTTCCTCATCCTGCACTTTTCAAGTTATTTCAACAAATCATGAATCAAAACGTTCGGCTCTTTCAGGACAATCCTGCTACAACTTTTAGTATTGGTGCAACTTTAGCTTTTTGAAATATTTAGCCTTTTCTGACATTTTTTTCACCATCGAAAATGAATTGAGCTCATTTTACAGCATTTTACTGCTCCTTTCTCTTTTTGTTCTGGTTTAGCTTCTTTCAGCTTCCTGCTGCAAATTTTAACTTTTTGCAGCTTATTTTCAGCTACTTTCAGCTGTTTTGTGCACCTTTCAGATTCTTTCTGCTAACTCCAACGTTTTTGTGCTTTTTCTAACTTCTTTCTGTTAATTTCAGCTGGTTATGCTCCTTTCAGTTGATTTCTACAAGTTTCAGCTTTTTCTACCATTTCAGCTATTATATAGCTGTTTTTATGCTCATTTAAATTTTTCAGCTATTTCCACTTTTTGCACTCATTTATACTTTTTTCTGCCTATTTAGCAGCGATGTCATGCTCTCTCCACTTCCTTCTGGTAATTTCAGCTTCTTTTTTCTGCATTTTTAGCTGCTTTTCTCTAATTTCAGCCTTTTCAGATAATTTGCACCTTTGTGCCCATTTCTGCTTCTTTCAGCCTAATTGGGCAAGCGTGTTCTTTCTGCTTTCTTCTGCTAATTTAAGCTTGTTCTACCTGGTCAGCTACCTTTACATTAAAAAAGCTCATTTCAGCTGTTTTCAGATAAATTCAAGTTTTTCTTGGTAATTGCTGCTACTTTCAGCCTAATGAACTCCTTTCTTCTAATATCAGCTTGTTATGCTCCTTTCAGCTTTTTACAGCTAGTTTCAATTTCTTCTGCTATTTCAGCTACTATTTAGCTTTTTTAATGCAAATTTTATCTTTTTTAGCTAATTCCACACTTCTTTTTTTTTACTCATTTCAGCTCTTTCCACTTCCTTTCGTAGGTCGAGCTTCTTTCTGCCTTTTTTGGCTACTTTAGATGTTTGTGTGTGTGTGTGCTAATTTTAGCTTTGATTAGTGGATTTCCTAATTTTTGCGCTAAGTTCTGCTTATTTAAATTTAATTTAGCAATTATGTGTTCTTTCGGCTTTCTTCAGCTAATTTAGGCTTTATTCTTTAATTTCAGCATGTTTTTATAGCTAATTTCAGCAGTTTTTCAGCAAGTTATTTTGCAATAAGCATTCACACTGCATTTTGGCAGGAAATTCAATTTCTCCAACTCTGTGATACTGAAGGGCAATAACATACTGTGTACCTTGAATGTTGCTGCAACATTTGTGAAGTTTGCTATGCTTCCTCCAATGATCAAAACTTTACCTGAAAACAAATATTACCAACAAATTTTGTTTTAGATTCACACAAACAATAAATGTCTTGATTTAAATTTAGACGCTCTGAAGGTTTTCCCACCATCCGGGTGCTTCTCTCTTGTCATCAAGGACAGGATGATCTTGGCGTAGTCGTAGGTCTGCTGTTCACTCGGTGCCCCTGAATACTCCCCATAATTGGCCAGCTCGTTGACTCCACCCAGGTCACAGATTGTGTCACTGGAATTTTTTTTTAATACAAAGAAATAAAATGTCACCACAACCGTGTAATTTTCGGAGACAAACGCATCAACGTTTCTGCTCTTGTTTATTTTTGAGTGTGCACGGCACAGCGAACAGATAAAACAACTTAACGCTGCACGCTGGGAGCAATTAGTCTCGGCTGATACGTCTGGATGTCACGCTTTACATCCGCGACAGACGGTACCACCCAAACCTCCTGACTCACTAAAACAGAGGCATTTAAAAAACTAATTTAGCAGACATGGGCACAATGAACGTCTGCCCTTTCACTCAGCAAACTCACCTAATTATGTTCAACAGAATCATTCATTGAAGCCAAACAAACTAAACCTTAACATAAATAAATTTACACAAATTCTGCAGGTATTATTTAGTTTTCTTGGATTATGGTGCTGCAATGAGGTACCTGTACACCACCGAGGCCCCGCCTCCGGCCACCATGGTCCAGATTCTGCCTCGAGGATTGAGCAGAGTCAGTTTGAGGCTGGCACCACTCTTTGCATCAAGGTCAGCAATGTAAGCCTCCTGGAGAGCAGAAACCAACAATCAGCAAAGAGGTAAAAGAAAAGCTGAACTAAAGCTACGGATGCAGGTCGGTCTAACAAGACTTGGACCAAAACACGCATCAGTGGAAAAGTTGACGGCTGATGTGATGCACATCAGTGTTTGCTTGTCTGAGCCACAGCTGGTGGCTGAGGGTGAAAAAAGCCCCCAATCAAAGACCCCCACCCCCCCCACGGTTCCCACTCTTCACTCACAGCAGCCCAATTAGTGGAAACCTTCTGCTACACAGACCGACTCAGACAGGCTCACAACAAAATCAGAAAAAAATTATCTTATACACAAACATGTCACCGACAACCTTCATTAGTTTCTGCCGGTTTGACTCGTCCATTTATGAACTGGCACTCGTTGTGAAGATGGGACTTTATTTTTAATTCATTACTGAATCAAAACAAAACGTTGACGAACGCTCTCTAAAGCCACCAGTTTGGACTGGTGTTTTCTATGCCAGTATTTTGGGGTTTTGTAGCCACAAGTTTCTTCAGCAGCAGGTTGTGCATTTACTGAGTAAAGGATGATTCAGCATTTTTAATTTATTTTTCTGTTGTTTTAATTGTTTTTATTTTTGGAATCAAACTACCTCCACAATGTTCAATTTTAAACATTCATATTTCAAAAATGTTCAGCTCATTCAAGAGAGCTTGACACTTGATTTTTGTAACTTTTATATTCTTTGAAATATTTAACTTTATTTACAAATATTTTCCCTGTAGACACTGCACATTATAATAATCTATAATCTATAATATAATAATCTAGTTAATCTAATGATTATAATCTCTTCAGTTTCCTCGAAAGCCTTGTTCTCTTTGAAACCTGCTTCATCACACTGACTCCATCATTATCTTCTTATAATAAGTTTAGCTTTTAGCTAGCCTTTTGCTTCTTGTTGTGTTAGCAAGCATTTTAATACTTTTGGCATCTAGCTAGCGTTTAGCTACATTTAGTTTTTAGCTACCATTCTACTACTTTTAGCTTTTAGCTATCCTGTTGCTTTTTGTTGTAGCAAGCATTTTAATACTTTTGGCTTCTAGCTAGCGTTTAGCTACATTTAGTTTTTGGCTATAATTCTACTACTTTTAGCTATCCTTTTGCTTCTTGTTGTGTTAGCAAGCATTTTAATACTTTTGGCTTCTAGTTAGCATTTAGCCATTTTGGTTTTTACCTACCATACTACTACTTTTAGCTATCCTTTTGCTTTTTGTTGTGTTAGCAAGCATTTTAATACTTTTGGCTTCTAGCTAGCATTTAGCTAGTTTAGTTTTTAGCTACCGTTCTACTACTTTAAGCTGTTAGCTATCATTGTGCTTCTTATAGTGTTAGCAAATGCTTTTTGCTTCTTGCTAGCATTTAGCTAATTTTAGTTTTTAGTTACCCTTTTGCCATTTTTATTTTGCAGATTTTAGTAAGCGTTTTGTAACTTCTAGCTAGCATTATGCTTTGTTAATCTTTTAGCTAGTGTTTTGCTCCTTTTAGCTTTAACTCAGCTTCTTAAACAAATTTCAGCAGAGGTTCAGCTATCAGCATTCACACACTACAGTTTTGCAGAAAATCTAATTTCCCTAGTTAAGTTTATTTTCTGATGTAAAATAGTAAATTTCATCACAAAGATCTATGGCTTTAAACTCATTTTGAGAAAACAGTTTCCAAAAAATACAAAGCTTTCTTCTCTAAAGAGCAGCAAGTGTCTGAAAATGCAATATTTCTCATAGCTGCTGCAAAACATGTACGACTTTAATAAAAAACAGTGATTGAAATAGTACATATAAACTGAAAAAATTGATTTCATGCAGTTAAAAAGTGAACTAGGTTGCATTTTTAGACTATTTTAACAATGCATTATTTATAATAAACTTAAACTCCATTATAAAAGGACGATCTTCTGAATTTACGGGGGAAAAGGAATTATAAATAATGAGGGAGAGTTCAGTTTGCCACCAGCTTTACTAATTTGCTCATTATACCTCTTACTCAACTTCCTCATTAAGTGTTTTTCCTCAGATCAGCAGCACATGTTGCTGTCAAATAAAAATTTGATGTACTGTACTCGTTTCTGGAGCTTCCTCACCTCAGGATAGGCCTCCCTGCCAAAGGGGGGAGGGAACTCCACATCTTCCCACTTGGCTTTGCAGATGTAATCAGCTGTTGCATCGATCTTTGCAGCCATGTCCAGCACGTAAACTCCATCTTTTGTGACCACTAACAAAATTAAAAATCAACATGTAGAGATTTAAAATCCAGCATCTACTTATGGATATTCACTTTATTTAGGAGGATAAAAGGAGTTTTTGTGGTAATGTTGATGATGGCACTGCTTAAGTGTCTCTTTCTTGCGGGGTCCCGCAAGGCTCTATTCTTGGATCCCTTCTGTTCTCATTGTATCTGCTCCTTTGGGGTCTATCCTGAGGAAACATGGTCTTTCATTTCATTTTATTGCTATGCTGATGATGATTGCCAGATTTATCTGCCCTTAAAACAAAATACAAAGTAGTTCATGCACAATTCACCTCGTGTTAAAATGTCTTGATGAAATGGATGACATCAAACTTTTTTAAGATTCGATGATCAGAAAACTGAAGTGATTGTGTTTAGCCCTAGCTCTACTGCTGTCCCTCTTCCTGTAAACCTCGACTCTCTTGAGCCATATCTTAAGCAGTCTGTTACAAATCTGGGATGATTTTAGAGTCTGATTTGCTGTTTTGCAAAAAAGCTTTTTTCAGTTAAGACAGATAGCTAAGCTTAAGTCCGTGTTGACCAGATCTGACCTTAAAAAATGAGTACATCCCTTCATTACTACCCGACTGGACTACTATAACTCGCTTTATGTTGGGGTCAGTCAGGTGTCCCTTTCACGTCTCCAGCTCGTCCAAAATGCTGCAGCTCTGCTCTTAACAGGAACTCGTAGGTTTGAGCACATTTCACCAGTTTTGTCCTCCCTTCACTGGCTCCCTGTATGTGTCAGAATTGATTTTAAAATTCTCCTGGTGACCTTTAAGCGCATAAATGGCCTTGCACCCTCTTATCTCTCAGATCTACTTCAACCATATGTTCTTTCTCGGGCGCTGAGATCATCTGACCAGCTGCTTTTGGTTGTACCAAAAACAAGGCTGAAGCTCAGAGGAGATCGGGCTTTTTCAGTCACTGGCCCTAAACTTCGAAACAATCTGCCCCTCAACATTAGACCGGACACTTCACTTCCTGTTTTCAACTAAAAACACCTGTTTTCACTGACGATTAACACGGTGTGATCTGATTTAGTATTTCATTGATTCTCACTGGTTTTGTATTATGTTTTGATTCCGATGCTTTTAATTACACACTTATTATTCTTTCTTGAATTCACTGTCTTGATCTTATTGTTGAGCATTTTGGTAACAGCTGCTGTTTTATCTGTGCTTTATAAATAAATTTGACTTGACTTATTTCAAAAAGGTATGAGTTTTGGCCAGGATTAGTAAAAATAAGAGAATGGTCCTGATGTCCCAGAAGGAGATGCAAGGGGAGTGAAGATGGGGGGGGGGGGCAGGATTTCAAAGCAGCAGCAATGCAGCCACAACAAGAACATCTGCCAGAGGGCATGTACTGGTACCCAATTACTTCATGCATTCATCAAACAGCAACTGCATGAATGTTTTAATCATTTCCTCCCTCGATGTTAAAAAGAAGAAGCAGAATCTTCTGTTTTATTATGCAGAGCTGTTTTCCCCTCCCACTCCTCTTTGATGCTCTTTTTCCAATTTTATAATCTGTTAACTTATTGATGAGTGAGAAGAAAGTGAGGATGCCCGTTATAAAAACTTTTTCCATGCATGGAGTACGTTGTTCTGATAAAAACCTACCCAGAGGGTTGATCTCCAGGTATGTGAAGAAGAGCTCCTCGTACAGGTTGAAGAGTCCAACGATGAAGCTGCTGAGAACGCTGATTTAAAAACAAAACAATAAATCAGGATTTGATGCTTTGGTAGTGCAAAAATTATTTTTTTTTATGATTTAAGCACTTCAAATGAGGGGCAACATAATAAAAAAAATTACAGAATAAAAATCATACTTTAGTGATTTATAACCTTGAAGAAGAGAAAAAGATTTTATTGCCCCTTAAATATGCAAAAAGGTATTTCTTGATCAAAATGAATATTTTGTATTTGTTCTTGAGTAATTACTGTTAATAATGCTGTGGATTTAATAAGTCCAACGTATAAATATAAGTTTAATTTACATAAGATGAGATTAAAATTAAAAACCTTAAAAAGAAAAAAAAATTAAAAACCATTTTAAATGATCGCCATGATGTTTATCTATATATGTATTTAACATCTGGCATGAATCATCTGTGAGTGAAATTTTTTATTATGTACACATTTTTATGAGCTGGTAAAAAGTATCATTCTAGATGCACAAGGTTTGTTCAGGATGAGCCGAATGAGAAACAGCCCACCTGTAAATTAACTGCAGACTTTCTGCAAGAGAATAAATTAGATTTGTTTTCTCCGTCATACGTCAAAATAAAAAGATGGAGGAAGCGGCGAGCACGTCCAAGGGAGCGACCCGTGGAGAAAAACTGCAACAACGAAAACCCAGGATGACTCTACGTCCCCCGACTGTCAGCTTCTGATGGATGCAGGAAAAACTGGCCTCCTGTTTTCAGTCTGAAGTGTGTTTGGGCGGGGGAGGTGGGCAGGGTGATTTCTGGGGTTCAATGTCAGCCAAGACGGCGAGTCCGCCCAGAATCTGCTGTCATAAAAGCAGAGCTAGAGAGATGGATGGGAGGGTGGAGGCCGAGTCGCTGTATCCTCGCTTATCAAAACAGATGGACGTGCTTCGAATATTACTGCGTGAAACAAAAAAACAAACTGGGGCTGATTGGAGAGAGGAAAATGTAATTTATTTAATGGAACCACGAGGTCATTTACTGCTCCTCGCCTGGCACGACTCCGTCTGCTGCTCCTTATGTTTAGTCTAAAATGTCATTAGATCTTGTAAAAGAACTCGTATGGTCAGTTCAGGATTTGTGTATAGCTTTTAAATTATACCCGTTCTTCCACTCCACTTTAAACAGAAAGCTGCAAAACTGAAGGTGCGTCGTAGTTTTAATCCAACTTACGCTTTCTTGTCGATAGGAGCCTCGCTCAGAAGTTCTTTCTTCACCTGCTCTTCGCTGATCTTTTTATCCACCCCGATCAGCAGCTTCTGCGCCTTGGCATCCACATCGCCAACATCCACCCCACCCTCGTGGTGGAATAGCACGTAGTCCCCCTCCCGAGAGGCGTACATGCACACGTAGAACTCCTCTGCCTGAATGGACCACGAGAACAAAACAAGTCCTTTAATAAATGCATCTGGATCAGACATTTACAACCCCCATCCCAAAAGAGTTAGGGTGATGTAGCGTAAATAAAAAGAGAATGCACTGATTTACTAACTCAAACTCATTTTTATTCACAAAGGAGCGTAGAAAACATCAAATGGTTTACCTGCTTGTGAGGAACAAACGGCTCAATAAGGAAGTTCTTGAGAACACCTTTGGCTTTTCCCACCTGTGAATCAACAAGAGCAGGTTTCTTAAACGAGGAAATAAACTGCAGTAAAAGAAAAACTTGGCACGTTATCGTAACCCTCCTGTTGTCCTCATTTTCTGTATACACCGTGTCCTCCGGGTCAAAATGACCCGTCTTCACTAAACCCCCAATATAAGCAGCTTAATTGAATTTTAAACACCAAATTTCATCTTGCATATTGTCATTCACCACAAAATGTGTGAATACCTGAGTTCTCCCTCTTCACTTGAATATCTATGGCTTAAGAAAAGAAAAAAAATGTGCAAAAAGGAGTTTTGACTGCATTTTTATTCAACCCAATGACTCAGTTTCTTTTATTTTTCTCCAGTGAACAATTTAAGACAAAGTACAAATAAAAATATGAAAAATAACAACTCATTCAACTGATTAGCACATGCAGGGCAGTATGCAAGAGAGCAGCCTTTGCACATATGTTTCTTACACCGGCAGCACACTATGTGTTTTACAGTCCTTCTTACTTGCCCTGGCTGAGGAAGTGGCTGGGGAAGTGGCTGGGGAAGTGGCTGGGGAAGTGGCTGAGGAAGTGGCTGGGGAAGTGGCTGAGGAAGCGGCTGAGGAAGTGGCTGAGGAAGCGGCTGAGGAAGTGGCTGTGGAAGTGGTTGGGCAAGTGGCTGAGGAAGTGGTTGAGGAAGTAGCTGAGGAAGTGG